TCAGTCGGTGTATGAAGACGCAGAAGACACAATTGATAGTGACTTTCCTGGCTTTGAAGAACAGAGTGATGAACCGGAAGTGCCAGATGGATCAGTGATGAACCGCCAACATCGGCGTACGCGTGGTGTGTTACCAAACAGGTATGAGGACTTTATTGTTGGACAAGGGCTACATGGCGAAGAACCCAGTGACTTTCGTGATGCATTGAGTGTACCTGTTTGGCAACGCGCTATGCGGGAAGAGATCGAAGCACACAAAGTGAACAGTACGTGGGAACTATCGGATCTGCCACCGGGCAAGAAGTCCATTGGTGCGAAATGGGTATTCAAGATAAAGCGGGATGAGACGGGCAGCATAGTGAAGCATAAGGCCCGTATCGTCGCACAGGGATACTCACAGTGTTTCGGTGTGGATATCACGGAGGTGTATGCACCAGTCACGCGGCAGGCTACGTTGCGTGCGCTGCTCGTCGTTGCAGGGAAGAAGCAGCTGTTCCTGAAGCAGTACGACGTTCGAACGGCCTTAGTTAGGCCTCAACGGCACCATCGAAGAAGAGCTGTATATGCAGCAACCTCCAGGCTTTGCGGTTCCAGGGCACGAGCAAAAGGTATGTAGGCTTCGTAAAAGTATATACGGGCTGCGCCAGTCCGCTAGATGCTGGAATAAAGCATTACACTCTGTACTCCTCGAGCTAAAGTTCAAGCCAAGCGCCGCAGACCCATGTCTCTACATACGATACGAGAAACCGTTTGTCATCATTTTAGTCTACGTTGACGACTTGTTGATTGGCAGAGCAAGCGAATCCGATATAGCCAAGGTCAATCTCCGGAAGAAATTCGACGTTACTTCGCTAGGCTCCGTGCGTCATTTCTTGGGCTATGAGATAGGGAGAGAGGGATGCTTCTACACATTAAAGTTGTTAGCGTACATCGACACTTTGCTGTGTAAGTATGGCATGGAGAACTGTCGGCCCTCCAAGACCCCAATGGATCCTGGGTATACGTCAGCTATCGAAGACAGTAAGAGGTTCGATGATCCGACGCTGTACCGGAGCCTCGTAGGAGCGTTGTTATACTTGGCCGTGAACGCACGACCAGATCTGTCTTTGAGCGTCGGATTGCTTGGGAGAAAAGTCGCCGAGCCCAACATCATGGATTGGGGTGCAGCAAAACGCGTGCTGCAGTATTTGAGCACAACGAATGACTGGTGATTGAAATTCGGACCAGGTGAAGGATGGCGTCTCAAGGGCTTCTCCGATTCTGATTGGGCCGGATATCGCCGGACAAGAAGATCTACGACCGGGTTTATCTTTTTCTTTGGAAGCGGCCCGATAAGCTGGGTGAGCAAGGGTCAAAGTTCTGTGGCTCTTTCATCCCTCGAAGCCGAGTACAATTCTCTATCGCTCGCTTGCCAGGAAAATGTTTGGCTAAGGCGGCTATTATCAGAGCTGGGAGTACCCGAAGGACAACCAACGGTCATCTTTGAGGACAACCAAGGGTGTCTCAGCTTTGCGACCTCGGAGAGAACTAACGGTCGTGTTAAACACATTGACACCAAGAAGCACTACATACGGGAGCTGTCTGAACAGAAAGTTGTCAAATTGGTGTACTGCCCGACCAACGAAATGGTCGCTGATGCACTAACCAAGCCGTTGGGACCAACAGCAATGCAGAAGTTCATCGATCAAGTTGGACTGAAACCCTAGACTCGGTGTTCATCCAGGAGGAGTGATGGAGTATGATGAGCACCTCGCTACTACCGATACCTTGCTACCAAAGGGAACTACGGAGAAAATGAATTTAACTACCTTTGTTTCTATGCACGTTGAGTACTATCTTTTTTCTCTCTTTTTGCACACTTGTACTTTGATACAAATAAACACGTTTCGCTTGAGTTCGGTCGCGTCTTTATTCCGCTTAGAGAAAAACCTTTGCTATCCGTTTTTGCTCCGGTTCCGCCTATCTGCTGGTTGTCCGTCCTTCACACCTGACGGCATTTGGCTTCTAATTGAATGCATCGTATTGCTTCTGATAGCACTCATAACCAGAGAGCTCAAAATATCATTAATTGTGCACTTTGTTCCATATAGTATAAAAACATATATAAATACAAAAGGTAGAAATTTTCCCAAAATTTAGCCACCACTAGCAGCATGACAACTCTCGGATTCGATGATGAAAAGTAATACAGTAATTTCCCGATTTTGTCAGCCCCTCCTCCGCCCATCAGACTTGTATCCTTCAATAATCTCACATAACCGTAATTTCAAATATTTTTCATTCAAGATCTTCAATATGACTGTTTAAGGTATATGTTCGCACCGGTCACCACTTTCACGGGTTTCTACCTAGAAAAAAACTATACCACTGCAAGATCACTCACTCGATCATGAGTGACCCGATTAGATGAACAGTAGGAGATATAGTTGACCTATTCTGCCCAATGTCCCTTATCAATCTATCCCGTACCATATCGATCGCTTCACGATCAACGGTAGGGCCGAGTGTAGGTAGCAAACCGATAAGAAAAAACATCGCACGCAGTGGTGTAGTTCCCTAGAATTTTTATATAATTTAGTTCGCAATAAACCTTATGCAGGAACAGTCGTTTGTTGAAGTACAACGTCGCGTGTTGCAATTTGTACAATTAAGAACAAACAGTGAAATACAGTCCAACTTTACCCCGTTAAAGTACTCGCGTGTTATGTGCTTTCTGTGCGCGTTATCCGACGACTTTGAACCCAGTGATTAAGTCCTTGATTGAACAGTATACTTTGGTGCAATAAGACCACTGAAAAAGCGCATGGATTTCGAAGAATATTTGAAAAGATTTTGAATAACGGGGGCTGGCAAAATCCGGTCATTACTGTATTCAATTGTTTGCTATAACATGACATTTAACATCAATATATTGTTGAGATATTCATCCAAGTTGTTTTGACGAATAAGGTATATTTGATGCTCGACTGATCTAATCAAAATTACGTCGGTTTTCACTCAAATTCTCATACATGCAGTTACTCATAGCCTGAATAGAAATTTGAGAAAAATTGTGGATAATTTTTCTCACTTAATTAGTAACCTGTATTTTTGTGAATTTAAGTGACCCCCCCTGTATGGCGCTAATGTGTCATTTGTTTTAAAATTACTTGTTTAACTTGACATCATGACAAGATAGAAGGTTACTGTCTTCGGCAAAGTTGTTCAAGTGAATTTGCGTTGCTTTTTTGTATCAATTACATTATTTCTCATCGCATAGAATGTGCAGCAATACTCTTTCAACTAAATTTTAATGCGCCCGAACATCAAACACATCACTAGCAACCATCCATAGAACTAACGATACTATGTTGAAAATGAAGTTTAGATTTAAAATACCTAAAAATACTTAAGAATAATTAAGAGATATTTAAAACTATCGGAACTAAAGTTTAGAGGTAGATGCACCTAGGTCCCTGGTAAGCAACTGTAAATTCCACTTACTTTTTGCTGCAAGGAGGCAAGCACCGACTGAAATTTTCAGATCTGCACGCCTCTCGGCTGCTGAGATTAGCGAGATTAGTGCCTCAGAAATCATCAAGACTTCCGCCAATCAATCGTGGCTTATAAGCTTCAGCGTGACCTCATTCAATCTGGCAGCACTGACTTCCGAGGCTTTGACAACCAGCATAGCATACTTGCAGGCTAGGAATTGAATCACACCCGTAAGAAAAAAAATAGCGTTCGGCTCCCAAAGTACCATACTACACACAATCAACCAACCACCCCACACGTTCGGGAGCTTCGTGTACCACCACAGCATTTCGCGATCGTGTGGTGTGTCCATGTGGAGCGCCTGCGTGTAGGCAACCGGAGACATCATTCTATGCTGCAGTATTTTCGGCTCCTCTGTGATGGCGGCAATGTAGGCAAACGGTGTAGCACCAACGACGACCACGACGACCGAAACCACGACGGCAATCGCTTGTTCCGCTCTGCCTGTGCTGCGCTTCGGACCGTTCCCGACTAGCAACGGTGTGTCAGTTCTATTTATTATTTCGGTTATTGCAGACACGCGGGCGGTTGTGTTTTCCGCAGAAAATTATCCCCTCCGTCACGACGGCCGCAGATTTGAGCCACCATCAAAGCAAGCCAAGCAATTTTCCACCAAGTGTCATCATCGGCCCAGCAACGTTGTCGTTGGGTTCCGAAGCCTACTACCAATCCAAGAGCCTCCTCCTGAGAAAGGTAATTTTTTGAACCTCACAAGAAGGATATCAGCATCCGGAAGTTGCGGATAGTTCGGGTTTCTTTCTGTTTTTGTTCGCCGCCGTCGTTTCTCGCCGTGTTGGTTGGTTCGATGGTTCTTCGGTTCCCGAATTGTGCAATTGTTAGGTTTTAGTGTTACGTTGTTTGTTGTTGCAGCAGAATTTTTTCGCCCAGTGCAGTGGCAGTGCAATCGAGTAAATACACACAACCCAAACGAGAGTTGATTGCCAGTGAATTTTCCCGTGCAAAATGCGTTTCGGATTTTCCGCACCGCCTTCTGCGAGCAACCGACTTTTGGATTTGAAGTTTGATCGTTAGAGGGAGCTGCTGAAGCCAACACACATAAAAGTGAGTGAGGTGAATTTCTTTGTTGTTTTCCATTTGTTTCGTGCGTTCGGTTCCGTGAGTATTTTTTTTTTCTGTTTTCGGTGCCGTTCCCGTGCCTGTGGTGGCCCCGTTTTTCGCTCTTTGGCGAGCAGGAAAAATAGTGCCTGAAATCGATACCGCCGGGCAGTGTGTGGAGCAGCAAGCACCTGGCGACGGAATCAAGTGGTGGTGAAGAAGCAAACAAAACCAGTGTCGCCCAAGAGAACGGGTAGCCCCCCCCCCCTCGTCCCCTGCTCGACGCCCATGAGCAACCACCGGGCGTAGTGTGTGACCAATTTGGTGCGATTTTTGTTTCGATTTTTCCACTCGGTTCAGTGTCAACAAAAGATCGAGAATATACCGCCGTGTGTGTTTGTAAGGGAGAGTGCCGGAGTGGAAAAGTTGAAATTTCACCGCTCGAAAGAGGCAATAGGAAGTGTGCCAGGATGACGACAGTGCCGCAGTGTCATCGCTAGGGAAACGGCACCACCAGTGGCGCCGCGCACGGTTTGCTTCGATCACTTTCGTAAACACACTCCAAACACAGCACAGGAGCTGGGACTTGCTGGAAGCCTGTGATTAGCCGGATCCGTTGTAGCCCACCACGAGCCAGTCAGTCCAGGAGACAAAGGTAAGACCGTTTTGACTGAATTTATTCGCATGCGAGTGAGTGACGACCAACGCGCCAGTTCGGCGGTGTCTCGCGTGTCGTCGTTTCGTGTAAATAAATTCTGCGCTTGTTTGACACTGTGCGCCTCACACCACGTTCTGTTGATGGAAGTGCTGTTTGGCGTGCTAAATGTGCTGGGGGAGTGAGTAAGAGCAGTTGTTCTGTGTATCATTCTTGGAGTGAGGTGTTGTTGAATCCAATCAGGAAGACCCATCTCGGAAGAGACTACGGAAGTCCATTTATAAACTGCTCTCCTAATCATTTCCACATGTATAAAATGTAACCGCTCCTACTATAAGTGCACCACCAACATTTTATCCAATCTAGGTAGATTTAGATTCAAGTCATATTAAGTAAATGTTGGACGAACATAATTTTCCTATCCCTACCAGTTGCAAGGACGTGGCCAGGACAATCCTTAACTGTTGGAGAGGGATATCCGTCTTGCTCTTAATAGTTTTTAATTCGTACCACCTACGATATTGTGCAACTTGTTCGATGCTAATGCTAATGCTAATCTTAGTAGATTTAAATTCAAGAAAATTATGTGAAGCTATACAACAGATATCACGGCTCCGTAAAGCTTTCGCGTTTGAATCTTTTAAATAAATGAATTGGAATATTCTTGATGGATGTTTCCGACGGATTCTACGGAGGAAATATATGTATAGGAGAAATCGACGTTGGATGAACCCAATTCTCGAAAAATCATTGCTGTAATTGGATTCCGTACCTCAGAACAGTTTGCAGAGCCCTGAAACAATACAAGGATTTCAGACGTAAATTTATTAGCGATAATTAAAACGCCCTTAGGCAGTGTTTCTCATTCGCGGGTTGTCTTTAGATAAGTTGCAGGAATTCAGAAAAGTTGGATTTTTGTAATTTTATGGAAAATTAGTTAGTTCCTATCATTGATGTTAAGCCATTTCGGTGTTTCAATTTATAAACAATTTCAAACACCGGGCTGAATAGCACTATTCGGCGCATCTCTACACTTGAGTCACGGCATATTTACAGGGTGTCGACTACCTGAAAAACCTGGAAAATCAGGGTATTTCATTCGAATTCCGGCAAATATTTCTAAAATCCCAGAAACTTATTAATAGGTATGACTGACTTTGCTATTTTCAAACAACTTAATTACTCGGTGTAGTTTGAGAATGGTTTGTTCATTTCAAATTTTAAGGGGGGAGTAAACTTTGATTTTTCAAAAAAAAAATTTTTTTTTGGCTTAAAATGTTCCTTGGGATGTATACTTTAGCTAAGAAAAGACTCCAAGTTCGCCAAAATATTCCTTACCGCTTTACGAAGCGATTTCCTAAAACATGTACCGGCGCGCTGAGAGAGCATTTTTATCTTTAAACGCGTTTATCTCGAAACGGGGTTTTTCAAACTGGCGTGGGAAATAACTCAAACCAGTTATCATCAAATTTGGATATCGCCTAGGTTTTCGTGTTCAGAATTAAATTCTGTTTAGAAATACATATCCACATATTCGATTTTGTCAAAAATGGATTTTTAATCCACGATTTTGCAAGCACTTTTAGGGTGAAAAAATGGACTTTTTTTTTCCTAAAGCCACAACTTTCTAACCCAAATTTCATTACTAATCAGGATTTTTGTTCGATTTATGTTCCAGGATCACATGGAAAGGAGTATTTTCCCACGCCGTTTTCCGACTTCCGCGCGACCTGGTGCACCGGCCACGAGGAGACGCCAATCGAGTTCAAAAAAATACAAATTGTAGTTCGAAGGATAAATGGGTTATAACATATTTGCCCTCCCTGAGTGTTTTATTGCTTAAAAAACTTAACGAAAATGCCTTACTTTTTGGACGTTCAAAGTGTACTACCCCCTTAAATCGAGTTGCAAACTTGTGGTTTCTCAATGCTTGATGTTGCGTTTTTGCAAGTTGAGCAAAAATTACTGAAATACAAGGGTATTTCGATGATTTATGGCCTAATATAAATTCTGCTCCCACTGGGTGTTGACACATTCCTGACTTGAGCCTTGAATCCTGAGGGTTGATAAAAATCCATTTCCGTAGACGCTAGACGTTGTTAGTTGTTGCAAAATTTTACCTAATTGCGTCTGGCATAATTTGAACTTCTAGTTGATTGGTGCGACTACTCGATCCAGCTGTGTCCTACAAAAATCAATTCTTTTTAGGGCATTGCAGCCAGGGTTCTGCATTTTCGAAACCAAGAATAGAAAATGAACCCTCCGCAGAATCGGAGCAATATAATGATATCGAGTCACGATGAACATTACTCCTGTCAAACATGACTTGTCTATCGCTTGTTTCGTGCATCAAGATCATCGATTCATTTCATTTGAAGCAAAGACTTGTTTCAATTGACGCAATGAATGACTTCGCTTTTTTTCCCTTTCACTTCAATCCGGGGCTCATTCGACTTGTCGCGCGTCGCGTCATCAGGCATCAAAATAAAGTATCCGGACAACATCGGTTGCCGATAGGCATGGCATCCGGAGTATATGTAGCAATAATTTGTTATTTTATATTAAATGAAGTCCAAGTCCAAGATGGCGGCCATCGGGTTTCAGAAAAAAAAAGCGTCAAATGTCCTAAGATATGGGTATTTTCGAAACGAGATGCCGGAAATCAATATTTGAAACCATCGGGTTGCAGAAAAATATGGGTATTTTACAGTTTTTCAGGCTTTTCTTAAACCGGAAGCCGACATCTTGGAACTCAAAATGGCGTCAGATATCGGTTTCCGATCTTTAGACGTCACCCAGTTTCAATAATACCCTACAGCTATCTCCCGAAGAACGCGTTACCCAGTGAGCTGCACCCACCGCTTTTTCTCGGCGGGGTTTCAAACAGTCGGTCTGATTTTTTGCATGTTCGAGTGTCAATGGAGAAATAGTAACTTACAGAAAATCAGAGCGCTTGGTTGAAAACCCACCGAGACAAAGCGGTGGGTAGAACTTAGTGGGTAACGCGTTCTTCGGGGGAAAGCTGTATTGATGGGTATTTGACAGCATTTCCCACTTTTTCTGAAATCGGAAGCCGCCATATTGGATTTCAAAATAGCGTCGGATATCGATTTTCATTCTCTAGAAATCATTTTGTTTCCAAAAATACCTACCGTTCCGATTCAAATTTCGGACGATTCAAATTTCGGACGCTTTCATTTTTAATTAAATATTACATCCAGTTAGAAACAAAGTAATAATGTTAGATGATCGTGGAGGGCACTAGTCAAAAAAATTTAAAATTTACAAGACATGTGGATCATATTCGACCGAGATAATCAACTTTTAAAAGTGTCCGAAATTCGAGTTTAAGTGTCCGAAATTTGAATCGGCACGGTATATTGATGGGTATTCGACATAATTTACATTTTTTCAAACTGGAAGCCGCCATCTTGGATTTCAAAATACCGCATACCAATTTTCGATCTCTAGACGTCACCCAGCTTCCAAAAATACCCATATTGATGGGACGGCATCAGCATTCAATCCACACTTTTTCTGAAATCGAAAACCGCCATTTTGCATTACAAAATGGCGTCGGACATCGATTTCCGGCCTCTAGATGTCATCCCGTTTTCAAAAATTAAACAAACCACCCGACAATGATGCGCTTAAATGAACCGAGTCAATCAACAACGCGAGTTTGCATCGAACAGCTTCGCTTCAATTCAACGGATCATTGACCACAATGGCCGCTCTAGAAACCTCCGGGATACTCCGGGGGAACCTGTAGTAGGGGACAATTGCATTTTTATACCAAAACATGCCAAGCGACACCTCTCTGTTCATGATTTTTCATGAACAGGCTTTCGATAGGCTTTAAATGCGACATTGACCACATTGGCCACTCTTGGAATCTTCGGGATGCTCCCAGGGGAAGCTTTAGCAGAGGACAATTGCAAGTTTATACCAAACAATATCGAGCAACAGCTATTTCTTCGTGGGTTTCCATGAATAGGCTTTCGATAGGCTTTAAATGGATCATTGACCACAGTGGCCACTCTCGGAACCTCCGAGATGCCCCCGAGGAGACCTGTAGCTAGAAAAAATTGCAATTTTACACCAAATAATGCCATCTGACAGCCCTTTCTTCATGGTTTTTCATCAATAGGCTTTCGATAGACTTTAAATGTATCATTCGCCACATTTGCACCAACGCGTGTTTCATTTCCGTTAAGGCCTACATTCCTTCGACCCTGAGCATTCCTTAGGACTTATTTGCAAAATTATCTTGGAATTATGGTCACATTAGAATTTTCCCAGTTCTTTTTAGAAAACCTCCTCAGCATTTCTTTGGAATCAGAACTTTATATATTTTTAATTTCTCCCCAAAACTTGTTCTTCGAGGAAGAATTCTTTAAACAAAATGTTTCTAATTTCGCCTTGACCTCAAAATCTTTTTTTCAGATTTTTTTTTAATGTCAGGACTGATGAAAACAATTCAAATCATTTTTTTTATATACCTATCTAGGATCCCGAAAAAAAAATCATAGGCTCTTAAGATTTATATTATTGCGGACTAGAGAGTGCTAAAATATTTTCTTGTTTTGTGGTCTCCAAGAATTTTCCTTAGATCTCATTTGTAATCAAGTTCAAGATCTATAAAAAAAATCCTAATTCAGTTCTTAATATTATCGTTTATTAATATTATGGTTTATCGCTCGAAGAGGTGCTCCGCAAGAGATCTATAGCGATCAGGGCACGAACTTTCAGGGCGCAAGCAACGATTTGAAGCGGGAGATGGCTCAAATCAACAGTTCATTGGCCAACTCCTTCACCAACCGGAATACGTCGTGGCGGTTCATTCCACCGTCAGCCCCACACATGGGTGGATCGTGGGAACGCTTAATTCGGTCCGTCAAGGTTGGTCTAGGCACTCTTTCCACCTCCAGGAAACCGGACGAGGAATCCTTTGGCACTGTATTGGTCGAAGTAGAAGCGATGGTCAGCTCCAGGCCATT